CGGCTGTAAAATTGCAGTAATCAGGAGACGCCTTTGAAGACTAGGCTTGACTTTAAGAGGAAAGTCGGGGAGTTCGACTTCCCGCACCTCCGGCGGGGCCGAGCAGGCGAAGTCCCCGCCCAAGCAGGCGAAACTCGGACCGACTTGCAGTGCAAAGTTACTGAGACCCGCGCCGCCTCCATCTCTCTGCCACCTTCTTCCAGCCCGAAAGGCCTGCCCGCATAGTTGGTACCGTGACACAGCTGCTTTAAAACGCAGCAGGCGCCTAATAGCCAATGCGTATAGGAGGGACAGGTTTTACTGTGATTTCTCAGTGCTGATCAGTGCGATGTTAAAACACATTTACCGTCAAGCTGCGCAGCTCAGATAATCACATAAAGGCCAATTTAACCTAATCAACGTCTCTGCCAAAATGAGATTGGTTCCCGCATTGAACCGTTAGTGCTTTTTTTCTACCTAAATGAATTAAATAACAGAGAAAGCTTCCAGTCAGCTACATTAGGCCAACAGACTCTTAAAAGGAAACAGTAAGAATCCCTCTGCCTGACTCCCCACGCACACCTAAATCACTCTGCTTCCTTCACCATTTGGTAAAACTATTGCATTTCGCTTTCTGAGTTCCACAGCAGGTTACGTCGTCTGACCGGGGCTGCCACCACTGCTCTCCTCACCCCAGCACGTTCTCCCAGTCCCTCGTGATACGCTAGCTGAAGGACCCGATTTACCCAAAAACGAAAATTAACCCTATCGCTCCTCAAATAAGAAGGTTTCCAGCGAGATCCGCCCAGGGAACAGGTTCAGAGCTACACCTCACAGGCGCTACCACTACTGCAAGTGACAGGATGAACTTGAGAGCAGGGCTGTGGAGGAGCCCCCGCTCAAACGGGCTCGAGCCATCTCGCAGCTACACCCTCACTCACCTCATAACCTCTTCAGTTCTAGTTTGCTGGGCTTGATCTAACCACACGAGAGTCAGAACCCGCTTTCTGTCAAACATCATTCCCCTTAGCGTTGTGATCGTTTTTATTGCTCCCCTCTGAGCCTCTCGGTTTTTAGAGCCATTACCAGCAGGATGGCTGCAGCGCCCTGGCACATCAGTTCAGCCCACAGCGTGGCTGCAGCTCCGCGAGAAACAAACCCAGACACTCTCCCCATAGCGCCGCTGCTGTGGGACGTTCAGGAGTTACAGCAGTAAAGCTGTTTTTATTTCTCAAGACAGCAAGATACAACCGGACTTCAAACGTGGCGTAGTCCTATTAAGAAACTATTTTTACACCATCACTTTTGGAAGTAAAATCATGTTTTTAAAAAGCATCACCTCATTTTTTGCAAAAGGGACTCTCAGCTCAAGCATGCCACTTAAATGGGCAAAACTGTTTATGCTAGACATTTTATATACATATAAAAATAACAGTAATGCTTAGCCAAGATGGTATGAATTAAAATACATTTTCACAAAGTCACTCTCCCCCAAGGGCAAATGTATTTTCTAAAAGATTTTTTAAAATTCCCTTGCGAACACATTCTCTGACTGCAGTAGGTGCGTACCTGCCTGATCCAATATTACTGTTCTCATGCTCCTGATTCCAATAAGATTTTGTTCTAAACTACAAAACTGCTACAAAGGACAGACTTATCTTTAAAACTGAAGAAATTTCTTAAAACTGCCATACCATTTTAAAGTATTCAAATTGATCAAAGATACTTTGCTTGTAGCTTTTTAAAGCCTATGTAAAAACCTAGGTTTGTCAGAACGTGAAGAGAGATGATGGATGGAGCAAGAAATCATCTCATTTTAAGATCTTTGGCATGCCCTTTTGTCATGTTATAGCCTATTGCACAACAGTGTCTTTATTTTGCTTTCATAAGAACAACTTGTTTATTATTTGCAGACATATCACTGTTTTCTTGGGTATTATACCACTCTGAGTGAAAAAAAAAAAAAACTTCAAAAGAGAAAGGAAGAGTTAATAAACACTAATATTATTTAAACACAAAATATGTTTAACAAGAAAAAACTGCAGCCACCTTCAAAATAGCAAAGCAGAAGCTATTCTTCTCCAGTTTGAGAACAGGAAACAAGGTCTGATCTACAGGATTGTGAAAGAGGTGTGTTTCTTGTCGAACAGTGGATACCGGAGCCAGTCAGGAAATCTGTCAGGGGATAAGGCGACGGTGACACATGCCATCCTTCGGGGTGGAGGAGGAGCAGAGCAAACCTGGCCTCCCGTGAAGATCTCAACCGCCACAGAAATGGGTTCTGGTGCAGACCACTGTGCTTTACAGTGTTTATTAGGATCAAGTTATGTTTTGCCTGCAGTAACTGTGAATAACAATGAAAACCATAGATAGGGGATTTTATCATATTGCTCTTTACCTCGAAGAGCAAACACGTATGATTTTGTTCTTTATACAGCTAACTGCAGGAGCAGGATATACACGGGCCACAATTCTATTTCCTTTGAGAGTAATGGAAACATTATCACTGACGTAAAGGGGAGGGAAGAAAGGACAAAAAAGAGCAGGTCATCATTTTGCTAACTGCTACACAAAAGGAAATCAATCAAGGACGTCAATCTTGATATTATATAATTAGTTAAAACCTAACCTCAGAACAATAGTAGCCATACAAAATAAAATCAAGCTTTTATAAATGGTATAATTTATTCAATTGTAAAATACAGAGTTACAAACACCGATTTTAAACAAACAGGAGAGGAAAGAACTGTGGCATTATATAAACACTCAAGCATTTAACTTCAAAATACTCTCTTACTTTATAGCATTACTTAAAATAGGAAGCTACAATCAAGGATCCAGTTTTAACTGAAGCACAGTAATATTGCTCATGCTCAGATGAGAAAGCGAGAGGGGAAAATTGTCACACGGACAAACTATTCCATACGTTTGTTGTGCTCCTCAGAATACCTTGTTTTAATAATACTTTGCCAAGTTAACAATCCTTGCAGGTGTGGTGACATTTTAAAAAATAGTAGTGAAAATTTCATCATACTGTCACACACAACATTAGAAACCTAAGGCAAAAACTCTTACCCTCAATAACTCCCAATAAATGGCACGTCTCATTGAAACCATGTGAACCACTGGTTTCACACAAGCATAAAACAGCAAGATCAGCTCATAATTCTCAAAAAATGGCTTTTGTCAACAGGAAGCTCTCATCTCCTTTCTTCTGGAAGCTGAATTCATCTGGCTCACTGGCTCCCTTCAGAGCAGAGCTAATCTCCAGTCTGGTCTCCGCACCTCCACCTTCTCTTCCAAGAGAAGGCTTTTTGTTGGTGCAGCTGCACAGACTTCAGGGCTAGCTAACTCTTTGCCCAACCTAAACTTGTGTGTACGAAGAATTTTTGAAGAAGATACTGAGCCCTTAAACTGAAATTTTGCACGGCTGCACAGTCACCTTTAAGTAACAGAATTTTAAAAGCACGGTAGCTGGCTAAGACCTGCAAAGCAACTGGGACATCTAGCAAATAGCTCCACAGCCCTTCCTATTCCTAGGGAGATGACTTGGCAGGATCATATTCTAAATACAAAGGATTCAGAATTTTCCCTCCCCTCCACCTG